GACAAAGAAGGTCATCAAATAACGATTAAGGAAAAAAATTTCAAGAAGATACAGTAATTGTAAATACTTATACACCTAATATTGGTGCTCTTAAATACGTAAAAAAAAATTTAGTGTCTGAAAGGAGAGATGGTCTGCAATACAATGATGTTAGGAGACTTCAATACCCCAGATAATTTAGATATAAGATCAATAAGATAATTTAGATAATTTAGATAATTTAGACATAAGATCAATAAGCAAACCTTGGACTTGAGCCATGTTTAGGTTCAAATGGACCTAGCAGACATTTGTAGAACATTTTATCCAACAGTGACAGAATACAATTTATTCTCAAGTGCAGAGAGAACATTTCCCAAGATATATGCTAATCTTAATAAATTAAAAAAATCATATCAAGTAGTTTTTCCAACTGCAATGGTATACAACCATAATACTAATAAAGCAAAGTTTTGAAAATTAAGAAACAAGTGGAAATTAAACATCTTCCAATGAGTCAAAAAAGAAATTGAAAGAGAAATTAAAAATATCTTGAGACAAATTAAAATAAAAATACGGCATACTAAAACTTATGAACTGAAGCAAAAGTAGTTCTAGGAGTAAAATTTGTAGCAATAAATGCCTTCATCAAAAAAGAATAAAGGAGCAGGTCCCATAGTGCAGAGGTTAAGCACTGTACAGAGGAAGCCAGATTCCATATGTCTGACCAGGATTTGAATCCCAGTTATATTAGCTTGAAAAACATGCCTAGGACTCTGATGGTATGGTGAATTGGAGGTAAAAGGGTTGCAGTATGACTCAGCACCGTGCAGGGGGGTGCTTTCTCTTTTTCTCTCTCTCTCTCACTGTCTCTCATGAACATGTGCCCTCTTGCATGAATAAAAGGAAAGAATAAAGGGCCAGTCAGGTGGAATGGTGGTTAAGACAGCTGGATCACACATGGCCAACTACATGGTTCAAATCCTGGATCCAGCAGCTTGAAAAACATGTCAGGTGCATGTGTGTATGTGCCAAAAATCCTGAAAGGAGAGTGGAGGAAAAGGTATTGTGGCATGGTCATCTCCCCTGGGGAGTGCTTTGTCACTTTCTCTCTCCCTCTCTGCTTCTCTCCGGTAAGTGCACATGCCCTATAGCAAAAATAAATAAATAAAAAGAGCTCATACAAATAGCTTAATGTTACACCTCAAGGAACTAGAAAAAGAACTAAGTCCAAAATTAGAAGAAACAAAATAATAAAATATAAAAGCAGAAAGAAATGTGATAGAGAAAAAGAGTAGAAAAGACCAATGAAACCAAGAGATGACTTTATGAAAAGAAGAACAAAATTGACAAAGCTTTACCTAGGTTAAGAGAAGATTCAAATAAATAAAATCAGAAATTAAAGAAGAGAAATTACAACCGGCAGCATGGAAATACAAATAATCACAACCAACCATTACAGTCAGTTACATGCTAACAAATAAAATAATCTAGAAGAAATGGGGAGATTTCTAGACATTTATAACCTACCAAAACTAAATTACAGAGTAGTAGAAAAGCTCAACAGTCCAGTAATGAGTAAGGAGATTGAATCAATGATGAGAAGTTTCCCATTGAAGAGAAAAAGAGGATCTGAGGGGTTCGCAGCTGGACTCTACCAAACGTTTAAAAAGAATTAATACCAATCTTTCTCAACTTCTTCCAAAAAATTCAAAAAGAGAAAATATTTCCAAGCTAATTTGACGAGGCCAGCATTGCTCTGATTACCAAAACCAGACAAGGACACAGGAAAATAAAAATACAGGTCAGTATCTCTGACAAACATAGATGCAAAAAATTTCAACAAAATACTAGTAAACTGAATTCACCAGCACGTTGAAAGGATCATTCACCAACATAAAGTAAGATTTATCTTTAGTATACAAAGGTGTTTCAACATACTACAATCAATAAATGTTAATATACCATATTAATAGAATGAACGACAGAAACTGTATGACTATCTCAGTAGGGGTGGAAAAGGAATTCAACAAGTCAACATCTTTTTATGATAAAAACTGTCAACAAGTTAAATATAAGAAGAAACCTATCTTAACATGATAAAGGCTATATAATAAGCTCGTACTCAGTGGTGAAAGATTAAAAGCTTTTCCTCTAAAATTGGGAAGGAGACATATATGTCTACTCTCTCCAAGTCTATTCAACATAGTACTGGACATCTAGAAAAAGCAATAAGAAAAGTGAAAAAAATGTAAAGGCATTCAAATTTTAAGTGCAGATGACATGGTCTTATATACAAAAAACCCTAAAGACTACACACACGCACACACACACACACACACACACACACACACCAAAAAACCTGTTAGAACTAATAAACAAATATAGTAGAGTTTCAGGATATAAAATCCACACACACAAACATGTGGAATTTTTATATTAACCAGAAATAGATAATAATGGGCTCTCCAAAAAAAGAAATCAAGAATCCCACATATAATAGCTACAAAATTTAAATACTTAGAAATAAATTTAACTGAGGAGGCAAAAGACCTGTTTACTGAAAACTATAAAACATCAATGAAAATAATTTAAGAATATGGGAATAAATGGAAAGATAACCCTTGTTTATGGATTGGAAGAATTTGTATTGTTGAAACATTTGCATTACCCAAAGAGAGCCACAGATTTCATATCAAAATTCTCATGCTATTTTTCACAGGAATATAAAAGTAATCCTAAAATTTGTATGGAATCACTAAAGATCCTGAATAGCCAAAGCAATCTTGAAGAAAAATTGCAAAGCTAGAGACATCACATTCTTTGACTTCAAAATATGCTATAAAGAAAAGTAACCAAACATCATGGTATTGGTGAAACAGACACACACACACACACACACACACACAAACACGCACACACATGCAAAAAAAAGGAACAGAATAAAGAATTTAGAAATAATTCTATGCATTTACAGCCAATCAACTATTTTTTTTAAATTTCATTTCTTTCCTCTGACAGAAGGAGAAAGAGAGAGAAACAGGGCTGGGAAAAGCTTTGCAGGGTCTTCACATGGCATCCATCCCCAGATTCAGACAGCCCTTCCACCACTAAACCATGGGTCTGACCTACGTAGAGTTGTTTTCTAGAGAAACATATAGAAAATTGGACTTCTTTAGGAAGAAGACTTTGAATGGTGTGTTCTAAGATAGGAAACCTAAGGAATAATCTTTCTAGACTCCAAATGGCAAGAAACAGAAATTATTCCTGCACTCATATAAATAATATTGTAAGGTGAGTTATTTGGAGGAAGAGGTAGGTAGAAAATAAGGAAGAATAATTTTTGTCACTAATTCAACATGCAATAGCAGCTAGGGCCAATGTGAAGCCTTGAAGTTTCTGGTTTGCATCACTGGATGGATAGGGTGCTATGTAGTGAGATAAAGACATAGGAGCAGGAAGAAGAGAAGAAGTGAGAAGATCCACATGCTGTTGGACCTAACAGATTTGATGCTCAGGAGATGGGTCTGGACTAAAGTGAAAGATCTGGGGTGCACTGTCCTCCAGGGGACGTTAAGTCATGGAAACAGTTGAGATCGCTAGGTCTTGTGTGTAAAGTGAGAGAAGGATGATGATTGAACTTCAGTTACAGTAACTTCAAGGATCAAAAAGACAAGAGGGGACTTAAAGGAGGTAGCCAAGTGTCTGGAGAACTCAGAGGGTAGCATCACAGAAGTCAGTGGAAGAGGACCTGGTTGATGATGTTAGATGCTGAAAGGCAGCAAGTTCTAAGATTAGAGGCGAATCCACTGATTTGCCAATGTGGTCACTGGTGACCTTTGGTCATCACAGTTTTAGAGGTGTCAGTGGGGTGGGATGGGGCAGAGCTTAGACAGTAGTTGGTTGAATAGAGAAGTGCAAAAGAAGAGACAGGTCTCATTTATCTGGTCTTTAGGGTGCAGTAATCCAGTGCAGTACTGTGGAACTGCGTTTTAACAAGGATGTTACATATGTCAGTGGCTGATTTTTAGCTTGTAGCTAATTAAGATCTTCTGACCTTTTTTTAAAGCCTCATAAAATCAGGATTTTTCTATACTGAAGGTGCATAATTAATTCTTTTTAAAAACTTAATGCAGGTCTTTAACATTGATCTCTTTCAAAAAGCATCTTATTTTAAGTTGTATTTTTCAAACTTATTCCAAAGCCTGATTTCATCACTAGTAACTTTATAGGCCTTCAGAGAATCCTACTTTTTCATTTGGACCTCTCCCTTAGTAACCAGAGACAGAGATGTTCCTGTTACTATAACCTTCGCATATGGAAACAAGAATAGAGCTTAATTTCAGTTCAGGCAGGAAAAAAACCACAACTGATCTATGACCTCTAACTGAAAATCAACTGAGCAGAGATTTTTCAAGAACTGCATTTTGAAATAAGTTTTTTTTTTTTTTTGGAGAGATTTTCACTGTAGGGCGCGTGCGCTCGCCAGACAGACAGAGAGAGACATAGAGACAGAAAGTGAGAAATCACCCCCCAGGGGGGATGGTCACGCCGCAATCCCTTCTCCTCCATTCTCCTCTCGGGATCTAGGGCACGCACGCACACGTGCCCGGCGTGAGTTTTAAGCCACTGGGTCCGGGACACGAACCGCGGTCGACTACGTGGGAGTCCAGCGACATAGCCATTACGCTAACTGCTGGTTCCCTGAAATAATAAGTTTTGACAAAAGACTGCAAATAGACTTAAATTTGAAAGTCAGAATGATTTTTTGCCTGACTATTCCATTAGCTGAGATACTACATTTTATCCTTTTCTTAGCTTTGAAGAGACAGTGAAATTATGATCCCTGTGAGATTAGATGGACTATTTTAATTTTAGTGTGGGAAGACCAAGATGGAAGGTGCATATTTCCTTGTACGTATTATACCCAAAGAATACGAAGGGGCTTGAAAAAGCTCTTCGTAAAAGGAATCAAAGAATGAATTTATTTTGGTGCAACAGTTTTTGAAATCCATGCAGTGTTTTTTTTTTTTTTTATATATCACTATTTTTATTTTCATTTAAGCCAAGGATGCCATGCGCTAAGGTTATTTACACAAGATGTATGATTCACGTTTTACACTTTGTACAAACTTTAAAACACTGAACAGTATTTTCTACTTTATTGTTCAAATCCACATATTTTTATCCGGAATACAATTTCTATAAAACAACTACTGGCGACTAAGCCAACATTAGAAGAATTTTAAAAATTACTTTCTAATGGTTATACTAGAACCAATCTTCCTCATTAAGTACCTATAAGGATCTAGCACACTCTTATGCTTTACTGAAAATAGCCAAGAATGTAGCACTGGTAGGTGAGTATTATAATAAATTTAGCCAAGCATTCAAGAGAAAAGGATTGACTTTTAAGATCTAAACCCAAAATGAACTTTGAAAATATATTTTAAAATATCTTCCCAATCACACATATTCCTTTATGCTTTCACACAGCAAGTTCCAGGAGTTCCAATTTTTCGTGTTTTCATACATCTTTCTATTGGGGCAGCTATCAATCATCTTCTTTCTCAATATAGGTCTTTGCATTAACCCGTGCCATTTGTCTGGCCAAGTACCTGTCTCTAGCTGACATTACAGTTTCTTCATTGCTTCGCTTTGCAAACTTGCTCACTGCCTCGGGGGGTCCCTCTTGTTTTTTGCCCTTCTCTTGCCTTTCCTGTGTGAGTCTGTGTTTTGTTCCTAGTGATGCTTCAGAACTAGAGGGATTCTCTTGATTTCTTTCATTGTCCTTTTCTATGTTTCTCATCTTGTTGGATCTTTCCTGGTCAAGAAACTTATCCTTTGCCCTAGAATTTGGGCTGCTTTCCCTTCTGTCTTGACTGCTTTCTGAAGACTGAACACTCAGTTCTCGTTTTTCCTGATCTCTGTATTTATTATTATTTTCATATCTTTCCTTCCTCCCTTTCACATGTTCTTCCTTTTCTTTGCTTTTCTCCACTTTCTCTCCTCCTTTCTCACTGTGTCGGTCATGATCATTTCGTTGCCTTTCTCTTTCTTGCTCTCTTGGGGAATATTTCTCCTTTTTCCATTCTCTGTCATTTTTTTCTCTTTGATCTCTTCCCCTCAGTTTATCTTCTTGTTCATGTTTCTTCCACTGGGAATCTCTATGACTGACCTCTCTGTGCCTGTAAGAATCCTTCTTTTCTTTTCGAAGGTCATGGTCAGGGCAATAGTCCTCCTCCTGGTCTCTGGACCACCTCTTTCGGTGCTCCTCTTCCCTTTTCTCATGTCCTCTTGACTTGCAGGATTTTATGTGGCATATGGTACCATGCCCTCTTTCTTCACTAGATGATCGTGAGTGAGTCTGATTCCTGTGATGCTTGGAGTCATTGTCAAAGGTCTCTGTGACTTTTTCCCTTCTGCAGTGCACTTTATTTTCTTCCATTTCATCATCATCGCTGCTCTTAACATCAAAGTCACTGTCTGCATCTGGATTTTCCTCTACTTTCATACTGGTCTGGAGACTGCATTTCTCACGTGGTATTCTATTTTCTGAACTTACTTCGTCAGAATAACCCCTTGGTTTCTCCTCCTTTATCCCAGTCCTGGCTTCACGAAAGCTGCATTTAGGTACTTCCTCTTCACCAACTGTCTGATTTAACAGGTGCCTATAAAATCCACTGAGATCTTTCTGTTTGGTTACATCCAAACGTGCTTCTAGTGCAGCAGCCCTCTTTTCTCTTTCTTCCTCTTCAGCTCTCTCCTGCAGTTTTTTCTTATAAGCAGATGTCACAAATGCCTCTTTATCATCAAATTTTCCCTTTTCTGTTTCTCGTTCTCTCTGTATTTTCTTTTCCATTCTTTTTTCCTGTTCCTTTTTTCTGATCTCAACTGCTTTAAGTAAATTGTGAATATACTTGGGCTTTCGATCTTTTCCCAAAAGCAATTTGGGATTATTTTCCTCCTTTTTTTTCTGCATTTCATCATATATACTGTCATATTCATATACAGTGGAATCTTCTGCAAGGGCCTTCTGGATTTCCAGTTTTGTCTTTTTCATGGCCTGTTTCTTAGCTGCTTCCCGCTGAAGGCTTTCACTCACGGAAGTCTCGTCATCATCATCAGAATCATTCCCAAATACTGATGGTTTTTGCAAAACAGGGTGCAACAGCTGTGTTTTCTTTGGCAAAATAAGCCCATACTGCCTGCCTGGAATCGCCATCTTGCTGCCGTCTCCGCTGAGCGTGCTAGTGTTTTCATAATATGTATTTCCATGAACTTGTTAAAGGCCCCCACCCCCCATCCCACATAATTCAAACCTTCTGATTTCTCATTTAGGGCTTTTGTCACAATATTTCCAATACTGAGTCAGATATCTTCATCCACAATTTTAACAAAGCTTTATGTCTCAAGGAGAAAAGTCTAGGTAGCAACAGATCAAGACAATTTTATATATAGCTCAGCTATTTGTGTTAAGTTGGTGGTCATGAAACTGTGGGATTTTCAGCATTAGTTACAGCAAGGTGCAACGTGGGCAGAAGATGCTTGCTCCAGGCAGCTGGGGCAAACTGTTCAGTGCAACACCCTCGCTGGGTTGGCTTATTTCATAGCAAATGGAGGGACTACGAATCCACCAGATCATTTTCTGTACAAGATGGAATTTTTAACTGAGACTAGAGAAGATGCATACTCCCATCTCCCCCTACCTATCCCCTTCTTGTCATACTGCTAAACCATGTTTACTCAGAGCAGCAGCTGAAGCCTGTTTGGGAACTTGCAGCTTGTGTACATCCGATGAGTGACCAAGATGCTTGGGTGCCTGCTGACTCATTTAAGAACCACTGATTTAGAGCACTGCTAGGGTGTGGGTGTTAAGAGTGTTCTGTGGTTGGTTTTCCAGCATGCTACCAAAAAGCAATGGATGGAAGTGGCAAGTGGTAAAGTCAAAACACAATTACTGTATCTTCAGAGCATAGCTATTTCCTTCTGAAGTCTATCTTTTGGTCATTTGTATCTGGATTTGGCAATATTTTGACTGTATGGCAAGATGAATAATAATAAATATTGAGCATTTGCACCATGTTCTAAGTATTTTTCTAAATATTCTACATGCATTAAATAATTAACTCCTACAACTGCCCTCTGAGACTTGAGTTATCTATTAGCCCATTTTGTAGTTGGGGACAGCTGAGGCCTGTAGATAACAGTAACTACCTCGATAGTACCAGGTTATTTGTGGTAGAACATGATAGAAAAATCACCTACCTCATTTTGTTTTTCTCATTAAACTATATTTTAATGGGTCTCAAAATTCTGTGACAGATTTTTGGTCAAATTACTTCCATTAAAAAGTACTGATTTTAAAAACTAATAACTTAAAACTGCCACACACAAAAAAACCAAAATGGTCCACAAAACATTTTCCTTTCCTTTGAAGGTTTTATGATGCATTATTATCATTAACCAGTCTTTTACTATTAAACTTAAATGGCCAATTGAGACAAACAGTTCTGAGACTGTTCTTCCACTACTGAGTAAGACTGGGGTGGCAGGAATTAGAGATATTCAACAGCCTTCTGAGCTTTCTGGGCAGACTTGGTGCTTGCCAGCTCCAGAGGCCTTCTACTCCCCAGCTTTGATGACACCAACAGCAACTGTCTGTCTCATGTCATGAACAGCAAAATGATCCAGAGGAGGATAGTCATAGAAGCTCTCAACACACATGGGCTTGCCAGGAACCATATCAACAATGGCAGTATCACCAGATTTCAAAAATTTAGGGCCACCTTACAACTTTTTACCAGAATGACGATCAATCTTTTCTTTCAGCTCAGCAAACTTGCAAGCGATTTGAGCTTTGTGACAATCTAGTACAGGGGCATAGCCAGCACTGATTTGGTCTGGATGGTTCAGGATAATCACCTGAGCAGTGAAGCCAGCTGCTTCCATGGGTGGGTCATTTTTGCTGTCACCAGCACCTACCCAAATTAATCTACATATTTAATGGAATCCCTATAAAATTACAGGAGACAGTCTTCACAGATCTAGAAAAGACAATCATAGAATTTGTGTAAAATCATAAAAGACTCCGTATTGCTAAAGCCATCCTGTGCAAGAAGAGTGGAGTAGGTAGCTTCTCACTTCCTGATCCCCAAATATATTACAAAGCTATGATAATCAAAACAGCATGGTATTGGCACAAAAACAGACATGAGGACCAATGGAACAGAATAGAGTCCCCGGAAATTAACTCTCAAATACACTCCAGAAATAAACCCCAAAACATACAGTCAACTCATCTTTGACAAAGGGTACCAGCCCATCCAGTGGGAAAAGGAAAACCTTTCTAGCAAATAGTGCTGGAAAAACTAGGTATCCACCTGCAGAAAGATGAATCTGAACCCCTATCTGTCGCCATTAACAAAAATAAACTTAAAGTGCATCAAAAATTTAAACCCAAGACCACAAACTATAAAACTACTGGTGGAAAACACTGGGGAAACTCTGGAAGACACTGGGGTAGGCAAAGACTTCTTTTTTTTTTTTTTTTTGAGAGGTTTTTTGCTATAGGGCGCGTGTGCTCGCCAGACAGACAGAGAGAGACATAGAGACAGAAAGCGAGAAATCACCCCCCCAGGGGGGATGGTCACGCCACAATCCCTTCTCCTCCATTCTCCTCTCAGGATCTTGGGCATGCATGCACACGCGCCCGGCGTGAGTTTTAAGCCACTGGGTCTGGAATGCGAACTGCAGTTGACTACATGGGAGTCCAGTGACATAGCCATTACGCTAACTGCTGGTTCCCTAGGCAAAGACTTCTTTAGCAAGAGCCCCCAAAGCACAGGCAATAGTCCCCAAAATAGACAGGTGGGATTACATCAGATTAAGAAGTTTCTGCATAGCAAAGGACACTGTAATTAGTGTGAATTGACAACCCTCAGAATGGGAGACAATTTTTGTTAATTGTGCCTCAGATAAGGGATTGATAAGCAGAATACATAGGGAACTTGAGCTGGCTTACCCTGAAGAAAAAGATTAACCCAATTAAAAGATGGAAAAATGAGCTGAATAAACAACTTTCTAAGGAAGACATATGAACAGCCAAAAAGCATATGAAAAAAGGCTCATCATAATGGAGATGCAAACCAAAACCACAATGAGATACTACCTAACCTTAATCAGAATGGCCAAGATTAAAAAAAAAATTATAAGTGCTGGAGGAGAGGTGGTGAAAGGGGAACACTCCTACATTATTGGTGGGAATGAAAATTGGTCCAGCCACTGTGGAGAACAATTTAGAGGTTCCTCAAAGACCTTCCCAGTTCTTGGGAACCATGTACACCCTGCCTCGCCAGGCAGCTCCAGGTGTCCCTGCGCAGCAGTCCCCAAGCATATGAGACAGACTCAGTCTACAAGAGGAGGCCCATGTGCGTGTCTTCTGCTGTGTAAGCAAAGCTCTCTTATAGCAATACTTGATTCCACTGAGAAACGCCCGTGATGGCATCAAGGCCCATGATCAACAGATCTAAGGGGCTTGCCTCATTTAAGTGACTTGGAGCATAGGGAAGAACCCGTCCCCTTACCTGGGGAATTGTGTTCTTCACAAAGACCGAGGCAAGCAAGTGCCATGATGTAACATCTTAGTCTTCTGGTGTGTGGTGGTTTTTTTATACTTTGAGAATAAAACTTCATATAAAATTAAAAAAAAAATAGAACTATCATATCCAGCAATTCCACTCCTGGGTATCTACCCAAAGGACAGGAGAATTTTCCGTCAGAAAAGCACTTGCACAACTATATTCATTGCAGCATTACTCACAATTGCTAAGACATGAAACCAACCCAAATGTCCACAAACAGATGAATGGATTGAAAAAGTATGGCACACAGACTCCATGGAATGCTATTCAGCCATAACAAACAATAAGGCCCTGGAATTTGATAGAAATTGGATGAATATGGAAGATTTGTTACTGAGTGAAGTAAGTCAGGCTATGAAAGAGAGACATTGTATGTCTTCACTTAACATATACTGACTGTCCACACTCTATGGTAGAGACTTAAAGACTGGAGGACATAAAAGCATTAAAAATTGTTATGGACACTAGAGACAAAGTGGAAAGAGAGTGTGGGAGGGGAAGACTGTAGGAAAGGAAATTTGGGGAAAAGAATAGAGAGGAACACAGATGTGGTTTATTATCTGTTGATGAAGATGTGTACAGTGTTCTCAACTGGGCTGGACTGAGGTGTATATCATGCTGGGTGAAGTCTCTTTATAATCTAAATGATGTATAGTGATTGAATATATGAATACTACTACTACTACTACTACTAATAAATTAATAAAAGAAAATCAGGTTGAACTCCAATCTATGTTCTTAACCTATGAAATGTTGCTGATGTTTTGGTGCCATTAAACAGAAATAAATGGGCCATGTTTAATGTTCAGCAAATACTATTTCCATGCCATTTCCTGATTTATATATATACAATATAAGATGAAAGTTTGTTCATTTAATCTGCAAATGCACAATAATTTGTGATTGAATTAGGAATTTGAAGAAGAGACTATGGCTTTACTACATGTGATGGATACATAGTCCTTTTAATTCTTTCACATAGCTGATCTCTGCTCAAGGATATTTCTTTGATTTATTTATTTTTATTTCAATTTCTTTTATAAATCCAATCATATGTTAATTAGCTTGCAAAATGAATATTCCAACATGTATACATTTCTCACCAGTCCAGTTGAGAATACTATACACATTATCTTCAACAGATAATAACCCATTTCTTTGTCCCATAAATGCCTTGCCTCTCTACGTTTCTCCTTAATGTCCTTTCTCAGATTCTACTCCTTCACCCACCCTCCTCCCACACTGTATCTAGAATTTATAACCATTTATGATGTTTCTATATCCTCTAGTCATTCAGTTTCAGCTATAGAGTGCAGACACTCAGTATATATTAAGTGGAGACATACAATGCCTCTCCTTCTTAACTTGGCTTGCTTCACTCAGAAGTTAATCTTCCATATTCATCCACTTTCTGTCAAGGATATTTCATAGAACACTTTTCACCCCAGCAGGCAGGAGACAGGTCTATGGGGGATGCTGTGGGCTGGGCTGGTCCTAGCTGCTGGTAGGACCCAGGGATTCCTTATGGCAGGGCCTAGCCAAGAGTTCTGAGGCCACTGTGAGTAGTTAAGGGAATATTACTGAGCGTGAGTAAATCACTC